TTTGTCTCTTACCTCAATCCGCTATCCTTTTGCATCAGTCATTGCATTTGGTTAAAGTTAAGATTAGTAAACGAAACTCGTAGAAGCCTTAGTTTATATCTTCTATGTATCATCGCCATCGACCACTAAGCTCTGCTCGCATAGAAAGTCATAAAAAGTAAGCAACGGCTCAAGTCTCAGTCATAAAATTCATAGCCAATTCTTGGCCAAGTCATTTTGATGTAATAATAATAAAAGCAATAATAAAATGAACAAAATACTAGAGATTGCAACAGCTTTATCAAATCTATAGTAATGAGAACTAAGCTAATTGAAGATATAGAAAGAGTTATACTTGTATCATATTATATGAAAGGCAATTTATATACAGGAAAGTTGCTCAAGATCTATCAAATTGAAGCAAATCTCTAACAGAAATTGAGGTCTAAAGGGCAGTTAAACGTTGAATGACTCAGATCCTTTTTAAGATATGAAAAAAATTCTTTTAGCAATTTTTGTTAAACTATATAAAGGCAACTTCTATATAGTAAATTAGTAATCTACCTATTAAATTGAAACTCTTATTACCTTCAGCAACTGACTAAAATAGATTCAGATCTAAAAGGATTTTTTCATTCTTCAATAACTCAGATCCTTTTCAAGATATAGAAAGACTTCTTTTAGCAACTTTTGCCACACTATATGTAAATCAACTTATATATAGAAAAGCTGTTTAAGATCATTCCAACTGCATCTCTTATTACCCTTAGCAACTGCCTTAAACAGATTGAAGTCTAAAAGGCATTTTGCATTCTGCAATAAGTGAAATTTTCAAGTGCTAAAACTTTATAAAATTAGTTTGTCTTGAGCTTCGATTAAATCCAATTAGCCAGCACCTACGCCACTTTATTGTTCTATATAGCCCACATATATCTACCGCAGGCGCAACTTCGTCCCTTTGTGTGGGACCTGGCGCGTGGCAAGCAGGTAAACGGGATTAACGCGCGACACCAATGTCAATGTCAATGCGTTGCGAAACAGCTTAAGTGCTTAACTGTTAGCCGAGTAAGTTGTCCGTTTAGAAGAACCCGTTGTCATGCAGCCACCGCACCACAGCACCACACACTTGAACCTTTCCCTAGTTCGGTGGGATGGCGCGTGGCTTGCGGTTTCATGTCAATCACCAGGTTAAGGTACACGTGCAGACGCTTGAATGTCAAGTGACGCCTTGGCGGATGCAGGCGCGACACTAGATACACTGAGAAAAATGCACAAGAGCATATAGCAGGAAAATGCAGTTAAAGTGCAGGCAAAGATGAGTTTTGAATGGAAAAGTCTGTGGCATAAAAATTCGAATTAGAAATTTAATAAAATCGTAGTAGTGTTTCGCTCAGTGTAGCTGTTATTTAAAGGCACATACTTGAGCCTGGCTGCTGTCTGTTGCACACACACACACACACAGACACTCGGCTGTAGTTGCAACTGTTGCACCGTGGTCGAAGTGCACTTAGAAATGCATTGCGCTAAGTTCCCGTCGATTTGTCAGCTGTCATTAGGCAAAGCGTTGACTGCAATGCATAATGCATGAGCACCAGAATCTGGCCAGAAAACATGAAGAAGAACAAACAACAGCAACAACAAGCAGTTGAGGGAATGAGCTTGGAGCTGAGAGTGAGCAACGAAAACGAAACCGAATCCAAAACCGAGAGCCAATGGACAATGGGATGACATGCAAGCATCGCATTTGACCCAATTGTTGTTTCTTTTCTTTTCAGTTTCATATTTATTTTTTCGGTCGCTTTTGTTGCGTGGCCAAGGCAACAACAGCAACAGCAACAACACACGCTAAGAATAAATTATCATGCCACTGGATGATGATGCATCAGCCTTGAGTTACGTTTAACTTTTCCTGCTTTTTGGCTTAGTTTCTAGCCATTGACAGCGTCGTTATTTATTGGCCAAGAATAAAGCCGTCAATTGACAGCAAAAACCCAACAAAAAAAGTATTTTAAGTACTTAATTGGAATAAATTGGGGGAATTTTTAAACATGATTTCAAACGGCATTTCCTCAAAGAATTTCATAAAAATTAAAGCATTTTTAAAATTTATTATTATTTAATTTTTTTTAATATAATTAATTTAATATTGCTAAAATAAATAAATACTAAATATATTTTTAAAATATTATATTTTACGAACATATTAAGCCAAAAACAATTTCAATAAAATACTGTGTATAAATACTTCATAATAATCTATTATAAATAAATAAAAAAGAATAATATATATACTATAAATAATATATAATAAAAAAATTTTTTTAAATAAAATTTTTAAGTTTAAGCAGCACAAATAAATTACTTCAAAATGTATAAATAAATGAAGAAAAATAAAAATAAAACTTTGCTTTACACTTATTAAATGTATAGAAAATATATATAACTTTATATATATATAACTATATAACTTTAATCAAATTAATTTCTTTTTATATTTCTTTACTAGAAAAAGGTAAAGCAATAAAATTAACATTTATCAAAAAGTGCATTTTCCCATTAATACTCATTTAATAGCAAAACATATGCTATCTCTCAGTCACAAAACCTGCAACACACACACCACTGTGCCTGGGCCTGAAAGTAATTGAGCCTGCACTAGTGAGTGTGTGAGAGAGAGAGGGGAGTAAAAGAACAAGAAGAACTTTAAACAACTCAAGTGCACTTTGCAACTCGCAACTGATAAAGAAATTCCATTTATGTAGGTATCAAAAAAAAAAGGAAAGAAGAAGCTGAAGATGATATTGTTTGCTTTTTCTTTTCTTTTTTTTTTTTTGTGTTTTTTCTTTTTGGGAGGGAAACGACGCACAGCGACTTCCTGGGCGAAAGTTGCGAGTGGAAATATGATTGCATTATTTTGTTGTTATTGTTATAAATTGTTGTAAATTGCACTTACCGAGTAGCAAAAGTTTAATGTCCTTTGCCGCTTGAATGCCATCCTCTTTCAGATTCTTCTCGATTTGTTTGGAACGTTGTATGGCAGCGCGCTCCTCAGCCGATGTAGTGCAGCCCATTTTTTTAGACTTTGTTGCGTTTAACTTATATTATTTTTTTATTTTTTTTTTTTTTTTGTGGCTTTGGCAGCACTTGTCAGTTAAGTTAAGGGTATTTCTTCTTATAGGGTGGACAGCGAGTGCGCAGCTCTTTTATTTAATTTTTTATATGATTTTACTTTTGTCTTATTTACAAAATGCTTAAAATTACAAATATACACACTGGAACAGAGGTATTATTTATTTTTTATATATTTTAATTCGTTAAGGGAAATGGTGCGCAGCATCCAATTGGATTTTTTCTGCATAAACAATAACAACTGACCGTTCAGTCGTTCAGCCACGGGAAGTGACAGCAGCAACAACAACAGCAACTCAATGAGTCACACACACACATACACAGGCACAGCCACGCACCGGCATTGAGATAACTACTCGACAAGTGCGCCTAATTTTATGGCCGCCACTGTCTGTCTGTCCAATAGGGCGCGTGCAGCTATAATTGAACTGCGCTTTTGTTGTTGTACTATACTGTTATCAGCGACAACAACAACAACAACAACAACAGCAATGAGAGCAAGCAGCACCAGCAGCAGCAGGCAGTGCTCTAGCCAATTTACATATGGCTTGAATGGAAAATATGTAATATACTAAATATATATATGTATTATGTATGTTCATCAATTCCATTTATCTAATCAGAAAATGCTATCGAAAACGACTAAAAAAGTACGAGTTGCTGAGCGAAAAAAATTTCCGCCTTTTGGCAATTTATCATGTAGTCTGTTTTTTGTTTTTGGGAAATATTGTGCATGGTGTGGCCAAGTCCTGCTTTTTTCTGTATATGTATATATGCCTGTGTATGTGTGTGTGTGTGTTTGCAAGACGTGGGCGTAGGCGCAAAAATGTGTTAAACGGGTCGCCATAGCCGGCTAAGACGACGCGTGGTCACACTGGAGACGATCAGCCCGTCGCCGTGCCTCCTTAGCCCATTGATGCTGCGTTTTGTTGCGACTCCATGGGAAACGTTTAGTTTTTTATGCGGCTTTTGCGTGGGTGCGTCGCGTTTTGGTTTTTATAGTTGGGTGGTTGCTTGGGTGGTGTTTTAGGCGCTTGTATAAATTTCCATTTAGTAGTTTCGTTCCTCGCTGCTCATACGCTCGCGCTCTCACGCATACGCACACGCACACGCACTCTTCGCACACACACATACACACACTTGCACACGCATACGCATACACATTCTCCCACCCACCGCCAGGGCGGGCAGAGTGAGCGCAATTTTCTTCGTTTCGTTTTTTTTTCGGCTTTACATTTTACCACCGCCTAGTTTCCAGCGCCAGCGTATACACACAACACTTGCACACACGAACTGAGCAGAGCTGAGCAGAGCAGCGCAGCACGGAGGCCACCCTCTTGTCCGCCCGTTTGCTTGTTGGCTTTTCAGTTTCTTATTTATTTAATTATATTGCATTTGGATGTTTGAAAACACTTCATATTTCACAATTACCCGTTGCACAATGTTCAGCACTTGCACTTTGTTTTAAATTTGCATTAATTCTAATTTAATTGGAATATTTCGGGTGTGCAAAAACTTGTAACACACTTTTGCTGCCTCTCGCTGTCTCTTTCAAACTGATTCTGGCATTGCCAGACCACTAGCTCCATGCACTTTGTTTACATTTCGCGGGGTGTATGTGGCAACACTCTGTTATTGAACAGACTGTTAAGTTTTTCATTAATGTTACAGTTGCAATTCAAATGTGAGTAACAGTAAGCGGTTTATACATGTTCTGCGAAAACTAAAAGTTGTTAATAAAATAATAAATAAAATTATTAAAATGATATTATTGACATAGATTAGCGTTTATTAGTTCTTTTTGTAGAAGTTCCAGGATAATTTCATAATGACTATTAGTAACCGTTTGGGTCAGCAGCCAATGCGCTGTTAACATAAGAGTTGCATGCATTTCTCCAGCCCTGCTTTCCAACAGCTGATCGCAATTGCGTGCTTTGTGGATTTTAGAAAAACAAAATGTTACGTCAAGTTTTGGTAAGTTTTAAGCTTATTTAATGAACAAAATTTATAGCTATTTCCTTATTTAGAGCTCAAGTTCTGTGCGACGCTTGTTGTTGTCGCCCACACGCTGTGTGAGCAGCAAACAAAATGCGCCCGATAAGTCCGAGTACTCAACGCCACCGGAAATAATTGACTACGAAGATTCGGCCGAATTGCCAGTGCCGGAGTATCCAATAAGAACGGATGAGCCACTTGAGACACGCAAGCAGAGGTGCGTAAAATTGCATATAGTTATGGCTAAGTAAATTAATCAGCATGCATCTGCATTCGCCAGACTCTTGTATCAGTCGCGCAAACGCGGAATGTTGGAGAACGATTTACTCCTGAGCACCTTTGTGGCCAAATACCTGAAGGACTTTGATGCCGATGAAACAGCTCAATATGATCAGCTCATCAATGGCGTGAGCAACGATTGGGATATCTATTATTGGGCGACCAACACGAAGCCAACGCCGCCGGAGTACGACACGGACATCATGAAGTTGTTGAAGCAACATGTCAAAAATACGGAGCGTGTGCAGCGTCTAAGGCAGCCGGACTTATAAATTACTGTTATATAATAATATATATATAGGCAAAGATTTACATAAACTAATAAGCTGTGCTGCATGTTATCAATGTTCTTACATCAAAAATTAAGAGAATTCAATTTCTTTTTTTTTTCTATAATTTTCTTGTAATACATATATGATAATATATATATACGATGTCTGAATGTATATACTTATCGATTAAGTTCTGTGTAGTTGCGAATTATTACAGTTAAAACTTGCACTTTTGAAAAATTCATCGAAATTTTGTTATTTTTTGCTTCTTGCTTTGCGCCCCAAATATTTGTATATATAAATCGGGTTTATTCGATCTGTTAAATCGTTCACAGATTAATTTAATGAATTCTATTTTATTTGAATTGTTCACAATTGTTTAGCTTTATATATATATCGGTAATTAGCAGTTGATTCAAGCGATTAAATTCTTTAAACTCTAGTTTTAAATTTAAATGAACGAACGGTTTTATTATTTGCTTTAAATAGTTTTAAAAGAGCGCTGCTTTAAATAAAATAATCAAGAAGAAATTATTTTGGTGTTAAGCAATACAAACACAAAAAACATCTTTTGCCAGTTAATTTTCAGTTAGGGAGCTTCAATAATAGATTTTAATTATACATAAGAATAATAATAATAATATTACACATAATTTTGTTTTTTTTTACGTTTTTTTTTTTTGCTTACATCCGAAAGGCTAATTTATATAAAAAATATGTTGTAAAACGTTTTTTTTTTGTTTGTTTTAAAAATCTCGCTAAATCAGAAACACAATTATCGCATGAATTTTCGCGGCATCAGTTAAAAGAAGGGCTTAAATAGGCGCAATTGATGCGTGTAAAAAATGATGAAGTAACAACAGAATTAACCTACTACAGATACAGATACAGATTACAGATCGTTTTTGATAATCCTTATCTAAATCTAGTCGAGCGTCTCGAAGAAGTCGTGCGGATCCACAAATAGCGCCGGGCTGCTGCCACCGCTCATGGCCGATGATGATGCTGCTGAACCCGCTGCCGATGCTGATGCTGATGCTGATGCTGATGCCGATGCTGCTGCTGTTGCTGATGCGGAACTACTGACACCTCGATGGCGACCACGACGCGCTGTGCCACTGCCGCCAGATGAATTGCCACCGCGTATGCTGGTCGCTGTCATGACGGGATCGTAGGTTCGGGTTGAGGCCACCTCGCTGCTCGACATGGACGATTTGCGACGACGCTTGTTGCGTCGCCGTCGTCGCCGTTTGGTGGTTTGCACAGCGGCCGTCGATGTGGTTGGCACGCTGCCCAGCGGTTCGGTTAGCACGCTGGTGCGCGGCAATGTCAGCGTGGTCTCGAACATCTTCAGCAGCGTCGGCGAACTGGGTCAATTTTGCGGGAACACATCGTCGATGGTAATGAAAGCATCCTCGCCCAGCGAATGCTGTCCAATTATTTTCAATAGCTCAGCCGCATGCGCCACCAAATACTCCAGCGGTGGCCGACGCTCGAAATTGAGCGATTCTACGGGGATATATTTAAAAGTTAGACAAACTTCTAGACATAGACTCAGAATACCTACCTAATATGGCCGAGTTGAGCGTGGTGGAAACGTTTTCACGTCGCGAGGGACACAAGAGCCAACCCAAGGGACTGGACCAAGGATTTGAGTAGGCAATCAAGCTAAATGCATCCTAAATAAACAATATATTACAATTTTCAGTCCGTTTCATATTCAAGTCGTGTGTCACCTCCAACATTTGACGCTCCTCTTCAGTCATGAGGTTCTCCTTCTCTAGCTGCTGGCCCATGCTAGACAGTTCCTTGCCAAATTCTAAAATCTTCTCAATGACACGCCCATAATTGCGCGACGAGGGCGATACATCTACATCTAGAAAGATAATACAATAAATATGCAAATTTCATATTGTTTATTGTATTGTTATCATACCCATTTCCTCATCGATGGCATCTAGAGAGTTACGTACTACACTGGCATTGCCATTGGAACAGGAATCGCCTGGATAAATGGATGAAGAGATTATCAATATGAACTTCAATATATTTATAATTCTATATATATTATAACTATATCTAGTCTTATGATCAAATTGAACATATTACGTTTTCTTCATTCTACTTTTGGCCAAATGAAAAACTTGAGCTTGCCTTACCAGTAGCTTAGTTCATATTTCGTCTTCTTGAATACAAATTTGTTTCGTTATATAACAATAATTTGAGTCACAATTCTTGATTTTAATTTCACTTCTTAAATCATCTTTGTCTACGTTTATCAGCTCTCAATTTGCGTCTTCTTAAAAATTAAAGATATATATATATATGAAAATCAATATTAGTCCAACAGATTCACAGTTTCTGCTGCATTTCTTGAATATATTTTATACATATTTATGTATTCTTCTTGACTTTAAGAAGCTTTGCTTTCTTGAACTTGCATTTGCTTAGAACTTATAACATAATTACTTCATATTTTAATAGTCAAGCAATATTATTTAACATATATTTGTCTACATCTGAACTGAACATAAACTTTCTTCTGCTTCCTAATACTTTACAAGTAAACGTAAACAACTCTTCAGCTAGTTTAACAAGATTGAATCAGTTTACAATTTCATTTCAATTAGAAATTAGGATCTAAATTGTTGTAAGCTTTGTCACAATAATATGCATAATATATATAGATCTGTTCCACTGTTCAAGTCTAAGCTAAACATCATTCAATCTTTGCTGAATATAGAATAAAGTTTTTAATTAGGCTTAGGCTTCACCTAAGCACATGGCTAGACATGACTCTCTAGTCTTGATAGTACTCTAAATTGAAACGCACCATTGGAGTGACTGTTGCAAGGCTCCATTTCCACATCCATGCTATTGGAATCATGCTCCGGACACTTGTTGGAGTTGTCATCAATAATCATGCTGCAAATGGAAAAACAAATTGTAATAAATTTAAGGAAAACAAAGTTTTTAAACACAAAGACAAACATTTTGGGATCTGATTTATCGCCTGGTTTTATCACAGCTGAGTTCGCAGTGTTGTTTTGTGGCTGGTTGTTAGTGTTGGTGTTGGTGCCGGCGCTGCCGCCGCCGCTGCCGCCGCCGCTGCCGCTAATGTTGCCGCCGGTTTTGCTGTGCTTGAACGTCTTGGTCGACTGTATGACCGACGTTTGATTTGTGGGCATGGTCTGTGTGGTGGCGGTTACTTTGTTGTTGGCGTGCTAAAATTTTTTAAATTTAGTTATAAATTTCAAATTAAATATAGAAACCCACCTCAATATCAGCGCCATTTATCATTTCAATGAATTGGCGGCACTTAAGTGCAAACCAAAGATTTTTATTGTTCTCGAGGAGGCCTGGATAGGCGCGCAGCGTATTCTCAATGGCCTGACTCATTTTGCCCGTCTGTATGAGCTTGATTATCTCTGCAAGACAAAATGATGTTAATTAATTACGAGTTAAGGCTGAGCTCGAGGAGTTAACAGCTGCCTTGGGCTTAGACATCTTCGTATTACAATAATACAGATTCTAAAAGCTAGCTGAAATTTAAACAGCTTTTACTTAAAATATTTAAAGTTTGGGCTACACACTTTGACGTGTCTTGATTGATGCCAAGTCCTCGTCGAAGGGCTGATGTGTGTAGCCATTGAAGGCCTCAGCTGTCTTGCAATAGCCACTGTGCACCAAATAAGTGGAAACCAGCCTAAAAACGATAAACATTAGCAATTTTTTTAAACAATATAATTATTTGTATGCTTGCCTGTTCATTAGATTTTCGGGAGTCTCCAGCAGATGCGGATATCTGTCGATTTTTCGTAAAACATTGGCGCGCATGTCTCGCATCATTTCCTCAATTTTATCAAACTTAAAAGGCTCCTGGCCAAAATTGGCATCCACTTCCTCGCCGGGCGTTTGCAGTCCCACCGTCGGATAGAGTTTGGTCTGCAAATTGAATTAATTAATAGCATAAAGTTCGCATATTTATTATGGCATAGTGACGCACCGGCAAGTCTCTAAATGCGATGCCCAGATCAACGCCGTTCTTGGTGTAGAAACAAGTGTTGTTCAGAAAATTAACACAGCAGCCAATTACATCGCCGGTGGTGAAGGTGGGTCCATACGACTGCCCACTGCACGAGGAGCTAAACGAGTTGCCATCGTAGCCATGATAACCATACGACTGCTTATCCCCACCTGTTTGGCAAAACAAATGATTATTATGATGATGTGAACTTCTGTCTGAAATTGCCATACTACGCACCTGGCAGGCGATTCATGCGAAACTGCTGGGCGGTCAGTCCGATGCCCATATAGCCGTTGCGACCCTTGGAAATGATGCGCACCTCAAAGTAATATAGGCCACAGGACGGTGGTATTGGATATGCGGTGCGCACAGAGCCTGCTGCCTCGCTGTGCTGTTTGCCCACGCCTGCAATGACACGAGATAGCACGAGGCAAACTGAACTGAACAACTCTATTTAAGACCATTAAGCATATTGTGTATATAAGTCTGCCTATAAGCTACTCAGCTACAAATATTTAACATTTGTCAAAACATTATAAACGTGCTTCAGTTCCTCACAGCGAATACATACTGTAATTGTTTCACCTTATTACTCTCTCCCACAGCGAGTGGCTTGTGTATGCAGCCAATCAGCTGTTTGCCAATCACTCACACAAGCGCATGGCATCACGCGAATAAGCGTGTGAGAAGTGGGCGCCAAAAAACAAAAACAGTTACTACCACACTTGCACAAGTGCAAGCGAGACAACTAGTGTGCCCATGCATTCAGTGGGGTCTCCACTCAAAGCAGCGCGTTGGCGTTTTCATTTGCTTTGCCCAAAAATGGCAGCTTGAGCAGCTGTTATTGCTGTCTACTAGGGAAGCAAGAGAAAGAGGAAGAGGAAGAGCAGCAGCAAAGACAATAATAAAATGTATTTTGAAGTTGTATCAACTAATTAAGATTCATTTGTATGCGCTGTATGAATTATTTTCAAGTACATATAACTGTATATACATATAGAATTCTTATAAATATTTATCAAATGTATATGACTCACCAGTCACGATTATTAATCAACAATCAAAAACAATTAAGTTGTAAACAGAGTCCCTAACATTTCTATGTTATGTTAATAACATAACGAGGACTTGATCAGTGTTAACATAGCCAACAATTAAAACTGAGTTGGAAAAGGAAAATTTAAATTAACAGATAAATATGCTAACATTTTGTTAACATTAACATAACAGCGGAAATAGGCTGAGGTCTATTAACATAATTGGCATTTCAAGATGTATTTAATTATCAAAATGAATTTAAAACGGTTAAAACACAAAGTGCGTATAACAGTTCTAGCAGCTCGTTGAGCATAAGAAAATGGAATTTGTTTTCCATTAACATATTATAAGCGTTCTAACAATTCATTAACATAATGACAGACACTGCATATAGATTATGATTTCTCTCGCTATAATTTGCCAACTCACCTTTGTAGGTAACACGCAGATTGTTGTGCGAGAGTCCAATGGTGAGGCACTTGTCATGTGGATTCCAGCAGCGTGGCAGCGGCGTCTCATTCTCATTTACATTCGGATAGAGCAGACGCAAGGGATCGACGCCCTGATGCCCTGACTGATTCGCATTCCGTGTGCCGCCGCCGCTGCCGCCGGCCAGGCGGGGCGAGCTATGGCTCTGGCTGTGACCATCTCGCTGGCCCTGGCTCTGGCTGGTTGATTTGTAGCCGCCGGCGTACATATCGTTGCTGAAGTGGCTGCCGTTGTTGCTGTAGAAGTGACGCGTGCGTCGTGAACTAGAGGCGGCGCTGCTGCTGTTGTTGCTGCTGCTGCTGCTACTGTTGTTGTTGTTGTTGTTGTTATTATTATTGTTACTGGTATTGTTATTGTTGTTGTTGTGATTGCTGCGCGGCGCACGCAGTAACGGTGGCAGTGGGGCACGCGCCGTGGAATAGCTGGGCAAAACGGCAACAGAATGAAGTCGTTGCTGGCCACTGACTCCGGCTGCAGCTGCTACGGCAGCGGCTGATGGTGGCGGTGGAGCTGTTCCTGCTGCCTGCTGTGCAGCAACGACAGCGTCAGCTTCGGCGTCGGCGTCAACGTCAACGTCAACGGCGGCCTCCTCCTCCTCCAGCACCTCCTCCTCCGCTTCGAGGTCGTCGTCACCACCTTCGTCCTCCTCGTCGTCGTAATCGTCAATGCGCTCCACGACGGCGTCGTTATCGTTATCAATGGCGCCCGCGTCAATCGTATCGGCAATGGCGTCCGCGTCGATTATCTCCGGCTGCGGCTGCGGCTGCTGTGGCTCTGTTGTGTCTGCCACCTGCAACTGTTCTACCTGCTCCTGCTCCTGTTGCACCTGCTGCTGCGCCTGTTCAGCCTCGACACGTGCTTCGTCTGTTGCTGTTGCTATTTGCTGTTGAGTAGGAGTTGGTGAATGCTCATGTTCAGCCTCAATTTGTTGTTCTTGTTCTTGCTCGGTGTCTGTTAACACCTGCTCAGCCTCTATGTTAAATAACAGCGCTGCAGCTGCGCTGCTGCTGTTGACTGCAGTTGCATTAACATTTGCTGTTCCTAAATTGCTGCTGCTACTGCTGTTGCTGGCGCTGCTGTTTTCCATGGATAAATTCGGATTATGCTCATTATCGTTATCGTTATCGGCATGCTCAAAATCCATATTGCGCTTTAACTGTTTGTTCTTAACTCTTGATTGTATTTCTTTTGCTATTGTTTGTCTGCTGTTGTTGTACTCTGAGAGAGATTTGTTGATTTTGGAAGAAGCAATTAAAAGCGACGAACAGAAACAGATGAAAGTGTGCTGACTGTAGTATGAGCTTGTGTGTGTGTAAGCGGGACTGAGCGTAATGAGGTGGAAGGCAAATGGATGCAGCAAATATTGAAACACAACAGAGGTGTGCGCGTGTGTGTATACACATGTAGAACAACAACAAAATGTCCTTTGGCCATGCGTCTCCCCCGCCCCAAATAGCAACAATTTTATACACTTTGGCGAGACAGCAACAACAACGGCAATAGCAATAGCAAAATAACAGCAGTTTACAGTATTTCGACGCGCAGCTGCAGGCAGCAACAAACACATAATAACAACAGCAACAGCAACAGCAGCAGCAGCTGCAGCCACTACAACAACAATTAAACTACAACTACATGCAGCAAATGCAATAAAAAAAATCAATAACCAAGTTTCAACACGATTGCGTTATTGGCCAGAAGCACACTTCACGTTTTCTTTTACAGTTAACAAAATGCGTTTCAACTGCGTTTTACGTCGTTCTTTTTTGAAGTTTTCTTTGTTTTCCCCCTAGCAGCAGCAGCAGCAGCAGCCAGTCACAGTTCACACATACACACACACTCGCACACAGGCTCATATACACTAATCACACACATACACATAGACACAAACTCACACACACTCACTCAAATTCGTGTACACACGCACACACACTCATGCATACAGAAAATTTGCTGGTGGCCAAATAAATGCATTGCAAATGGTTGGGTCTGGTGTTTATTTGGTCTGCTTGTGATATTGTTTTGTTAAAATGCCATTTTGGTTAACTGACTGCGAGTATTAAACATTTAATTTTCGTTACCTTTACGAAAGTTCAGTGCACTTTAAAATCACACAAATGACTTTTTGTTTAAGATTTTTACCTCGAAATGAGCGCAGTGTGACCGACTCTGGCAATTGTAGCCAACTTTATGTTAATGCTGCTGTCGATTGACATTGAACTGTAACGCACGCGACGACTGTTAAGAGTGACCATGTCAACAACTGTGAACAGTAACAGTAGTGTTATCGATAGGGCGCGCAGAATTCAATTTTAGATAAATTTTAAATTATTTGGAATTATTGTTGGGGTAGGCAGATTTATATATATTTTGAATGTATTACATAAATTAGCTAAATAATATTTAGATTTTAATAATAAATGAATGCTGTTTTCGTATTGTACATCGCTGTTCGCTCTCTGCTGATTTAAAATCAGGTTCTTATCTACGGCTACGCTTGGTAAATTACTGTATGCATACAAATATGGCTATGGCCGGTTTTTTCTTGTTGTTGTTGACAAACACAATTGCTAATCAACAACGTGATGGAAAATTACCAGAGAATTTCAAATGAACTTGAGGCAATTGCGTTTTAGATTTAATCAAATTTATCTTTAGCTAGAAAAATCGACTCGACGTGTATAATAGTTTATTATAAATACACATATATGTATATAGGTATATAATAGAATATGTTATGTATATATAGTTTGCACTTCATCAAATTGGCGTGGACTGTACTGCTTTATAGCTGAACACGATTAAGTCTTTTGTATTTCTTCACCCATAAAACACTTTTGGCCTTCATTTGTCTTAAAGTTAGTTAGACTCGCATTGCTTCCTATAATTTCATCCTCACTGCCCGACGGCCTTTAACTATCTGAACTGCTCTGCTTCTTTGAGCTGCCCCATCGATCAGGGTGCTTCGACACCTATAGAGAACATCTCAAAATTGAGCGTTAATTTGCTTTAGTATTGGTGTTTTCTATGGTCTACACTAATACAGCTAAAGAAACTGTTGCGCTCTTTGTGGTTCGCTCAATTTCACGAAGTTCCCATACGAACTCACACAGTTAGCCTTAGTTGAGGGCATAACTGTTCACTTGTGTTGGTAAATCTATGCAGCTCACCAATACACTCACAGCCAGCGATGCTCTCTTCTCACAGTTCACATAGCGCGTGTAGGAAGAGCGTAAAAATGAATTGGTAGTGTAAAATGTATAACACTCACCAATACTACCAAAGAAATATTCGCGCTCTTCGATATTTTAGCTCTCTGTTTACGTTTTGTTGTTTTAATTAATATTTTGAGTGCTTGATAATGAATCTAGTTTTTAATTTTATTAAATCAAAAATATACAAAAAATAGAAATAAATAGAATTTATTAAGTTATTTTTTTTTATTTATTTATTTTTTTATGTTTTTTTTATTACTATATATCATTTTTAAATTTATTGCTTACATTTTTTTTTTATTTTTTTAATTTATATAAAAATATATTTCTTTTAATTTTTATTTAACTTTTATCAGCCTAAAACTAATTTATATATTTTATAATTAATGTCTGAGTATTAAAATAAATAAAAACCTAATTAAATTCTCCGAGTTTCCAAAAGCTCGATTCATGAACCACCATTGTGGGTTGAATGTGGCTCAATGTGGCGCAGCCAGTCAGCTTCATTGTGGTCTCAAAGTCGAGTCGCATAAGCTTTAGGAGCTGCTCCACGCCGCGCTGCCCGTTGGCTGCCAAGCCCCACAGAGCGGGGCGGCCAATGAAGACCGTCTGGGCGCCCAGGGCCAGAGCCTTGAATATATCGATGCCCTGCATAATGCCGCCATCGAGCATGACTACCAAATCGTGGGCCACAGCTGCAACGATCTCGGGCAGCGCTTCGATTGTGGCCGGGGCTGTGTCCAGCTGCCGTCCACCATGGTTCGAGACAATGATGCCAGCACAGCCAGCATCCCGAGCCAGTTGCGCATCCTCTGCTGTCAGAATGCCCTTCAGCACGATGGGCAGTTGGGTGAGTTGTTGCAGCCACTTGACATCCTGCCACGTGATGCTCGGATCGTAGTGGCTGGCCACATACTCATTCAAGCCAGAGCCGCCGAACTGCGAGGCGAAACCCTGTGTCAGCTCATCCTGGAAATTGGCCAAACTCAAATGGGACGGCAGACTGAACTGATTGCGGGCATCCGCGCGACGATCGCCATTGATGGGCATGTCCACTGTCAGAACGAGCGCCTTGAAGCCGGCAAGCTCGGCGCGCCTCACTAGCTGTTGGGTGAGGGAGCTAAGGATCAAGAGATTATCTAGAGTTAGTATATAAATGACTTTCATATTCATATTCATATTCATATTCATATTCATATTCATATTCATATTCATATTCATATTCATATTCATATTCATATTCATATTCATATTCATATTCATATTCATATTCATATTCATATTCATATTCATATTCATATTCATATTCATATTCATATTCATATTCATATTCATATTCATATTCATATTCATATTCATATTCATATTCATATTCATATTCATATTCATATTCATATTCATATTCATATTCATATTCATATTCATATTCATATTCATATTCATATTCATATTCATATTCATATTCATATTCATATTCATATTCATATTCATATTCATATTCATATTCATATTCACATTCATATTCACATTCATATTCACATTCACATTCACATTCACATTCACATTCACATTCACACTCACACTCACATTCACTCATTCACTCACCGATCTTTGTAGATGTAGAGCTGAAACCATTTGCAAGTCTCTGGGGCAGCTGCTGCCACCTCCTCGATGGAGCAGGTGGATAAAGTGCTCAGGATGAAGATGGAACCAGCTTGGCCAGCGGCGCGTGCCGTGCCTATTTCCCCATCTGGATGTGCCAGCTTTTGCATGGCTGTGGGCGCAATGCCCAAGGGCCAAGCGAGCTGTTCGCCCAGAATCTTGCAGCTGATGTCCAAGTGGGAAACATCGCGCAGGCAGCGCGGACGCAAACGTAATCTGAAATGGAATATGAATACATATAGTTATATCAAATGACATATTAATGCCAGACTTACCTCTTGTAGGCCTCATGATTGAGGCCGCGAGTCACCTGCTCCCCGGCGCCACTCTTATAATAATCCAAGGCATTTCGCTCCAGCTGCTCCTTGGCCTTTTGCTCGAAGTCGGCAACGGAAACGAAAGACATGATTTGATTTTATTTTATTTTAATTTTACTTTGATATTTAATATATTTCTTAAATTTTATGTATTTAGTTTTCTCAGTTCTTTAACATTCGTTTACTTTGCTTTGCACTCTGAGCGAGAGATGCGTCAACCGCTCGGCTTTTATAGGTTTGACAAGGGGAAACGTTAGAAAGAGATGGAAGATAGCAAGCGGAGCTAATCTTGCTTATTTTATTTGCTCGATGTAAGTGTGTAAAAAATATTGCAAATAAAATAAAATATTTACAATACTAATAAGAAATAAATTGACAAAATAATTAGAAAAATATTAAATAAAAATAATTTTACAAATTAAAATATTACTAAGATAAAAAATATTTAATTTAAAATCTACTATAATTTATTTAAATAAAAAAATATATAATTGAAGAAAATAAAAATATAGTAATAAAATAATAACTAAAAATATATACTATTAAAATAAAAATTAACCAATCGGGAATAATAAAAAACACACTAAAATATTTAATTAATAAAATTATAATTAAATAATAAATTAAAAAATGATTAAAGAAACAAATAATAGCAAATGTAACAAAAATAATAAAAATAATTTATGTCATTTTTTTTATTGTTATTTCGTTATTTTCTTTAAAATTTAAAATAATTTTAAAATTAATTTCACAAATTTCGTCAAGCAAAGCTAAGACTGCCAAAATAAAACCAATTAACCGCAGTAATTCGTTGAAACCTGTTCAATCAGTTCATCAGCTGAAAATAAACTGAAAAAATGACAAAAAGATCACCAAACTGAAAGCAAAACGTAAACAGAGAACAAAAAAATCAAAGAGCGCAAATGTTTCTTAGTTAGTATTGGTGAGTCTCATGCAATTTGCAATACCAACTCATATTCTACGCTCTTCATACACGCGCTATGCGAACTGTGTGAAGAGAGCGTCGCTGGCTGTGAGTGTATTGGAGAGCTGCATGGTTTTACCCACACAAATGAACAGTGACGCGCTCAGCTAAGGCTAACTGTGTGAGTTCGCATGGGAACTTCGTGAAATTGAGCGAATCACAAAGAGCGCAACAGTTTCTTTAGCTGTATTAGTGTAACCCATAGTAAAAATCAATACCAACGCAAATTTACGCTCATTTGAAAACATGCATAAGTACCTGTGATAAGACTAGGATGCAAGCCGGCATAGATGCAGGCAGAATGAAGTTAGGATTGGTTAAAACTTTACTTAGATATGTATGTACTAAAAGACTCTATTTATGATATAAAAACAGCAAATACACCCTGTATGATTTCATTGGACAGGCCTCGTTAGCTCTACACGTGGCCCATTCCGCTGCTGTTCTACCTACTCCTCGACTCTTGGCTCGGTTTCTTATCGTCCGGCATACAAATGCGATTGCTTGTTTTTGTTTACAGACAAACAAATGTGGAATGGAAAATTACCAGCGAGAATTTCAAGAGGTAGCTAGATTATTGCGTTGTAGATTTTAGAAAAAACAACCAAGAAAAAAAGAAAAAAAAAATGAAAAAATGATTTCACCACGACAAAGTCAGAGACTGTACTAAAATCATGTATATTTCACTTTCATATGACCTTTACTTGGTTCAAAATATAGTTTAGAGTTAGTTAATTATATTTCCAGTGGTATACAGTTATATATTGCTTCTATATAGAACGATCCTAACTGTTTGACTGCCTTAAGGCATCTGCTTAGCTCTGTTTAGACTGCCAGCCGAATGTGCCGACACCTATGGAAGAACATCTCAAAATTGAGCGTAAATTTGCTTTAGTATTAGTGTTTTGTATGGGCTACACTAATACAACTAAAGGAACTGTTGCGCTCTTTGTGGTTCGCTCAATTTCACGAAGTTCCTATACGAACTCACACGGTTAGCCTTAGTTGAGGGCATAACTGTTCACTTGTGTTGGTAAATCTATGCAGCTCACCAATCCACTCACAGCCAGCGATGCTCTCTTCTCACAGTTCACATAGCGCGTGTAGGAAGAGCGTAAAAATGAATTGGTAGTGTAAAATGTATAACACTCACCAATACTACCAAAGAAACATTCGCGCTCTTCGATTTTGTAGTTCTCTGTTTACGTTTTGTTGCTGTTTTTTACATTTTTGTGGTTTGGATATCGAATTGTCCAATTGGACATTTAGTCCGCCTGGCAACAGTGTCTTCCAATTGGGGTATTTCATTAGCTAAACTTAAAACCGCTTTCTGTATTAAAAAAAATATTTATATAATATGAACAGCGCAATTGTTATTGTTATTTTAATTTGCTTGTGGCGGCTATAAATATACAAGTGTGGAATTACATATATAACAAACTTGTATACTGCCATAAGCTAGACTGTATAACAAGCAAGTAGAGATATATACACATGCTTATAACAATTATACACACACGCGCTCATATAGAATAGTATATGCTGGTGTCCAACAAACACACATGCATAGCACAGTTGTATGCCAGATAAGGCTGTGCTTTAATTAGCTGCTGATCCGCTCTCACACTCTTCGCTCTTCGTTATTCCTCTTTCGTACGCTGTCTCTCGCGCTTGTATGTGTGCGTAGCGTGTATAAAAGGCCGCTGTGCAATCGAGTTGTCATTCAGTTGACTTCAATAGCTCAGCAACAAGTAAAGTGAGTTTTCGCTCTCCTCTCAAATATTAAATAAAAAAAGTAATCAAAATGCGTCTGGGTGCAACTATGCCAAACTTCAAGGCGGAGACCACAAAGGGTCCCATCAGCTTTCACGAATGGCAGGGCAACTCGTAAGTATATATACATATATACTATGTATGTATTTATTACAACTCTTCTTCCCCTTCTTTTTTTTTTTCTTCAGCTGGGTTGTGCTCTTCTCTCATCCATCGGACTTCACGCCTGTGTGCACCACTGAACTGGGTCGCATTGCTGTGCATCAGCCAGAGTTCGCCAAGCGCAATACCAAGTGCTTGGCCCACTCGGTGGATCCTTTGGACTCGCATGTCGATTGGGTGAATGACATTAAGTCCTACTGCTTGGACATTCCCGGCGAATTTCCATATCCCATTATTGCCGATCCCACACGCGACTTGGCTGTCTCACTAGGTATGCTCGACGAGGACCAGAAGAAGGATCCCGAGGTGGGCAAGACCATACGTGCGCTATTCATCATCAGTCCGGACCACAAGGTGCGCCTGTCCATGTTCTATCCCATGTCTACGGGCCGCAATGTTGAGTGAGTAGCAATTACGCTTAATTTGCTTACGCTTATCTAATACCCTGTAATTTCTCTTAGTGAGATCTTGCGCACCATTGACTCGCTGCAGCTGACCGATCGCTTGAAGGTGGTTGCCACGCCCGCCAACTGGACTGTAAGCATACCTCTTTCATTATTTGGCTAGAATTTCCCACTAAGCTCACTATTCTTGCCACCACTGTAGCCCGGCACCAAGGTCATGATCTTGCCCACCGTCACCGACGAGGATGCCCACAAGCTGTTCCCCAAGGGCTTCGACAAGGTCTCCATGCCATCGGGCGTCAACTATGTTCGCACCACTGAGAACTACTAGAAGATGCTAAAATTCTACAAATTTGGGCCGAAACAATACGCAATATCAAGAACTAAATAGATATACTAATACTTTTTTTACAATTAATTACTTATAAAAAGCTTTATTACATTCCCTTTACGTTAGTAAATTAGTTACCTTTTTATATAAATATTTGGTTTCCTCATTTGTTCGCAACGATATTAGCATATAGATTTACAGCTCACTTGGAAAGTGCATTAAAATCGAACTTGACTTTGAATTTGTTGCTACTGAATGTACTTGACTGTCCGCTGAGACAGTGCTGGCAGTTTAGCTGTTTAGCTATTACAACTTTTGGCTTTTTATTTCCTTTCTGTATGTAAGCAATAATTCTTATGTGCCTCTTAAGCTAATTCAAACAGTGATCTATAAATTTTGGACAGCACTGTAATGGCTCTCTAGCTTGTAAATGTAAACATTTTTTTATAGATAGAAGATTAAGTTAAGATAGTGAGAATAGCAACATTTTATAGGTTCTTCTGAAAAGTTGACATGTTTTAAATTAAATTATATATAATTGACAATTTAATTTCTATTAAATTGAGTACTATCAAAACAATCCAACTTTCCTTTAACAATGAATGAATCGACTGGCATACTCTTGCCATGCTCAATATTTGTGAGAGCACTGTAAAGCTTTTTGGCAAAGCTTTAACTGTTGGCACTTTAACTGCTCTAACGTTTGGCGCGCAGCTGTTTCTGATAAGCACAAAAGGCAGCAACAAGAACAGGAACAACAACGTCAGCCGTTTACCGTTCTTCACCTACGCCGCTTGGCGCTGCTTTCACTCCTGTCTCAGTTCTTATTGAGCCTCGCGCGCGTTCGGTTCGCAAACGCAGTCGAACGAAAATAAGAATTAATAGTAACAGTAACGGTTGCGGTAACAGTAACGGTCTTCGTTGTATTGTTTTTGTGTAACTTTGCGCTATTTGCATTTGACGAAAACTTTTTTCGTATATCGTCTCCGTCGCTGCTGCTGGCTACCTCCACAATTTGCTTATTGTCCGTGTCGCGTGTGAGCTAGCAACAACAGCAAAGGAAGGCGCACATGAAATGCCTTGCTAAGTGATCGGATCGTTTGTGCGTGCCTCTCGTGTGTGTGACTGTGTGTGCGTATTCTCTATCAATGCCAAAAGAAAAAAATCAACTGTGAAATTTAATGCTAAGCGCGCCGCATAAAAGTTTTGTGTCCATGCAGTGAATGCAACAACAGCAGCAACAACAATAATCAGCCAAAAAGTTTGGTGTTGTCAAAAGTTTTGATGACTTTTCGCATAAAATATGCTGGAAAACATTTACATCTCGGGCAGTAAAGTGTTAAAGAGCCTTAAAAGGTAAAAGATTTCATACTCAACTCCTTTCTCCCTAACTCTGAGTAATGCATTCAATTATCGCCCTAGAATAAGACAAAAACAAGAAGCAAAAGTTAAGCAGAAGAATAAATATATTCTGCTGCTGACTTTAGCATTTTGTTGTTGTTGTTTTTTTTTTTTTTTGGACATTCGACCTTAGCTCCACGCTTGTCTCTAGGGCATTGGAGACCATTTATTTGGCATGCAGATGGCGACAATATTTGATTGGTTTCTGCATTTACCGTTAGGGCAAATGAAAGTTTATTGATTAACCGAAAGTTGAAGCAGGTGAAGAGCACTTCATAAACTTAATGAAATTTGCTATTCAAAGTGAGAAAAAACCAATTAAAACTGAAGCAACGCGAACACTTTACATACCGTCTTTTTTTTGTAGAGTTTTTAAATTAATAAAATTGAGATTTTTTATAAATAATTAAATTTGAATTTTATTTTTAAATTCTATTTCTTTTAGAAAACAATTTTTGATTTTTGATTTTTTATTTTTTCTTTTATTTAAACACAATTAATTATTTATCATTCAGCTTCAGTTTTTTCAAACAAAAATTAAAATATATATATATTAATTTTTTATTAACTTTTATCATTTGATTTTGAAAAAAAAATTTTTGTTTGTTTTGAATATGTTAATTCTACTCAATAAAATTTGAATTATTATGAAAATATTGTAATATATTGCTATAATTTTAATGTAGAAATTTACTTTTTACAAATTGTGAAGCTGTTAATTTTCGCAGCAGCCTGAAAGTATGCAACAAAATATGAGAAGCCCATTATCCCATAGAGTTTTCCGGCCAACAGCAAATGCTGCATTAAATTTCTAATTTGTTTGCCTGCAACTAAATTGAATTGAAATATATGAGTTAACTTTGGAGCATTGTGTGGAAATTAGTTTTCTAGCTTGTGTGTGTGTGTGTTTCGGCTAAATGATTTATTATGCTTGATTAAAATATAAGCCAGAGGTAAATTTAATCTTAGCAAACCTTTCAGCAATCAGAGGGGACCGCAAAGGCGGAGACCTTTCTCATATTTAATGCCGCAATTAAATTGGCAGACAAAAAGGTTAAACTATTTGACCTTTTTATGTGGCTCATATTGCAAAATACCAACCAAAAAATACCAAAATACCAAAACACACAGACAGAGAAAAGCGAAATAAATAAATATTTAAATATAATTTAAAGCTTATCGAGGATAATAATTCGTAAAGCGGGCACAAAAGTTGAAAAAGCCAAGCCGACGGCAAATTGTGAACAGAGTGAGTGAGAGAGGCAGAGTAAAAGAGAGAGTGAGCGAGAGGCATAGAGTGGGTGAGCGACACTTGGACTAAGAACTGTAAACAGCTTTGGTCCTAAATATTTATAAATTTATTTTTAATGTCGATTTTCTTTTACGTTTTTTCTTATTTCAATTATGTAGAATTTATGAAATGTTAATTTTAATTAAGACCCGGAATAAGGGCTAAAAAAATAAGAAGCGAGCACGAAGAGATGAGAAGTCTGAAACGGGCAACAATGATAAAAAGATAAAAACAATGCGAAACTCTGGCAGCTGAAGGGGAACAAGATGAAGAGCTTAGGAGGGACTACTGAATGAGGTACCGAGGAACTACAGGTGTGAGTGAGCTGGAAGCGTGGAGAAGCATCTGCGTGTGTTTCAGTGGGCGGGTGCTTGTTATGCGGAAGTGTGGGTGGGCTGGCGCGAATTTTGCGCGTCCATTGTTTTAGCTGTTGTTGCATAAAGCGGGTCAAGTTTTTCTTATAAAATATTCCAAGTGCTTGACAAGTCACCGAAAAAAAGAAAAAAAACAACAACAACAGCAGCAGTAGCGGCAGTAGCAGCCGCAGCGGCAGATGCAGCGCTCTGCTTGGCGACCTTTGCGGTTCACAGGCATCAGGTGGGTGGTTGTGGGTAGCCCAGCGGGCCTTTGGATAATCTAACCAAACAACATGCTGCTCAAAGGCACACAAAAACAGTCACAACTGACGACTTCTTATGGGACATTGTCAGCCAAAGAATAATAAAGCCCCGAGCGCTGTCTGAAAGTAAAACAAAAAGTTGAAGCCAAAGGCAAAGCAACAGGGCAAAAAGCGAATACGCTAACTAAATTATATAGGAGACGAATTTTGAAATGAAAAAATTATATTTTGAGTTAGTATAGAAATTAAAAGCTATTTTAAATATCTATTAAATTATTTATTATAGTAAAAGTAGTAAATTATTTTTTAAATATTTTAAATATTGTTATATTATTATTCTTGTTGTTAAATTAAAAAAAGATGTATACATTTTAAGTAAACAACTTTTATTTCAATTTATACCTTATTTATTATTTTATAAATATATTTTTTTAAACTTATTAAGTTTCAGTAAATTTATTTAATATTTTAAATATTTTTTAAAATATATTTATATACTATTATAAAATTGAATTTTAAATAATTTTTTGAAAATATTTTAAATAGTTTTAATTTATTAAAAAATTATTTGGATTTGGAATTTCGCAATTAAATTTTCTGAAACTTTTAATGTATTTTAAATAATTTTAATTTAATAAAAAATATTTTTAGTCAATAAAAAATTCTCTATAAGATTCCTAGACTTCACAGACACTAGCTGATGCATAAAAATGAATTTCTATTTAATTCCATAATATTTAAAATATTTGAATATTTGAAATATAATAAGAAATATTTTAAGTCTAGATTACAATCCTTAAAAGTGATTGAAGACCCTCTTACAGTATCAATAGCCTTGACAGCAAAGCCCCTTGGCGTGTTGCACAACACTTAACACATGCTTTATGCTCGGCTAACGAGCAGAGTGTAAGACATGAGGCAAGAGGTAGGCAGAAGATGGGTACAGGTTGTCTCACAATGAACTGGGTGTTGATGATGAAGATGAAGAAGCACAAGCAGAAGCTAAAGATATGATGATGAAGTGGCAGTGGCCAAAAGGGATACGCGGCTTGTGGCTTGTGGCTGAGAAAACAAAAACTCAGCTAGGCAATTATTGTTGATGAATATGGTAGGAAATATGGAACAGAAGAGAAAAGTATTTTCTCCCCTAGACTCTGGCTCAAAACAGCACGCGAAAGTTTTCCTCCAACATCGGCTCACTTAAATAGGTTGAATACACAATGCAAGTAAATGTCTGGGCTGAGTTGGGCTGGGCTGTTCATAGTGAAAGGTTATATTTTCGAAATGTTGGCGCCGCATGAAATACAATAATTTGTTATCTGTCCTAGGCGCTGGCAAGTCCCGTCCTTTGTCTAGTCTATAAATCAAAATTTGTGTTTGCGTCTGTGTGTGTTTAGACCACATAATTAGGGCATTAGATAGATGACCAAATGATGGCCTAAAAACACATTTGCTCTCATATTTTTTGGTGTCAACATTTCTTCTGCCTCGTTTTTTGGTTGCCCTTTCACATTTCGGCAGCGTAAATAATGTTTAGAAATTAAATTCATGTGCCGCTCATTTGGTCACGTATTGATGGCAGCTCGTTCTTTTTGTTGTTGTTATTTTTATTTACAATGAATGTTGAAGGAAAATTTAATTAAAATTTGCGTTCATTAAGTTGATGCATGGCTAGCAGTTAAATACATGCGTAAATAAATATATATATATATAAATATATGCATACATTTTAAAAAATTATTTATGTTTTGTTTACACTTTGTTTTGCTGCAAATATTGATTGATTGTCTCAAATTAATATAGAAAGGATTTAATTGGATTCAATTTCATTTTATTTGAT